ATATAAAGTATATCTTCCATACCTCTGATTGTTTAGATGCGATTTTTTATATAAGTATGTAACTCCTCTATCGATGTATGCAGATGTATTCAAAAGCAGTAATCTGTCAAAGTAAAATTTGCAGATGTTCATGAAAGGTATGAAGCCTTCGGCATAGCCGAAGACAGCGCTGCTCTTACTTGTTTGTTCTCCGTTAGGAGCTCTAGAAGCATCATATAAAAAGCAATTCTATTAATTTTGAGCTTATAATTTTTTACCGATTTTTGTCCCTCCTGGAATATTTGACAAAGTGGACTTACCACCTTTGCACTCTAAGCCGACGATATACTTCTTATTTTTAATTATGTATTTTTATTTTCCCTTTCATCATCATATAAAAAGCAATTCTATTAATTTTGAGCTTATAATTTTTTACCGATTTTTGTCCCTGCTGGAATATTTGACAAAGTGACTTACCACCTTTGCACTCTAAGCCGACGATATACTTCTTATTTTTAATTATGTATTTTTATTTTCCCTTTCAAGATTTATCACAATCTAATATATGCGGAAAAGTGAAAATAGTACATTTTTACTTTAATTAACGACTCGGCATTTGCAATAAAGGCATATAGCATTTGCATATATAAATATGTAGTTTTTTTGCACTCTAAGTGCAGTTTCCCTTGCTCCGGTTTCCAATTTACTGGCGGAAACCGGGTTATGCGAAAGCTCTATTTCCTTTACCTTTGTTTATTCTAATATTACCAAATCACTTACCCTTTTGAAACTCGCGATCGCTGCAGAAGCGCATAAAAAATTTTCGAGCACCCTCTACGTTATTTTTAATTAAGTTGAGTGTTTTATTAGTTAAGCAGCGAGCCGTGTAGTCGTCGAAACATCTCATACCCCTGTTGAAAACTCTGGAAATAAAGAGCAAAAATTAAAGGATGGGTATTTTTATATGACATGGCACAAACTTGTGGAATATCTAAGACATTCCTAGGCAGATGCAAGGTGCGTTTCAAAAGCTGGGGCAAAACAAAAATATTTTGGAGACAAGGAACCAACTTAAAAAAATAAAACAAAAGTGACCCGAACTAAAAAAAAAAAATATATTTAAACTTATGTACATAAGTATTTACTTAAGAATTATAAAAGTAATTAAATACTTATATACAACTACGTATATATGAAGTGTTTGGGCGGCCAAGAAGTTATCTTAGGATCCATGAACGAATTCTTCGTAGTAAGTTTTTACTGTCTCGACAGCCAGTTCGAAAACGCCTTTTCTCAGAAAACTTTTCAATAACGCCATACTTCAGAATTTGATTGAAAAACACCCTATCTAAGAATTTAGTTGAAGAATGCCCTAGCTCAGAATTCGGTTCAAAAACGAACTATTTCAACTGAAAATATATTTAAAATGTGCTAATATAGGGCGTTTTCTCGGCAGCTCGGATAGGGCGTTTTTCAACAAGTTTTTTAAATAGGGCGTTCTTGAAAATTCTAAAAAATTTGTGATTTTTATTTCAAGCTTTTGTTTAACTAGTACTGTATGTATGTATGTATGTTTGTTTGTTAGGGTCAACTTTGAAGTCAGATTTAAACCTACTTTCCGCCGACCTAGAGACTTGAAACTTTACAGTTGCCTCCGAACCCAAGACAATGTAATATGAAAGATGAGTTAATCCGATAGGTGGCGCAGCAGTCGAGATATTTTAAAACCCTGTATACGTAATCCATATCCATTTAAAACGTATATTAACCAGATGAAAAGGAATAACTCCATAGAAAATTTTTTCTATAGATGGCGGAGGAGTCAAGATATTTGGTAAACCAATATTTATGGCCCGATTTCGTTCATATTTAATTAGATATATTGCCTTAAAAATGTTTTTTTTTTCACTATTAACTTTTTTTAAATGTTTGCTTGCTGATAGTCTGTTTCGGTTTTTTCAATTAAATGCATATGTATGTACATATTATATGGAAAAAAATACGCAAAATTATGTACAAAAAAAAATAGCACTATGTCTTCCAAAAGCAAAAAAATAGTAAAATAAAAATCAAAGTATTCAAACTTGCACTTTATTATCCTAAAATGGGTTCTTAAACTGCATACTCAGAGTGTTTCAAAAATTGATGTCAAAAAATTTTAAAATTTTATGAAAGTTTGAAGAACTTTTCTAAGATTTTCTTTGGTTTAAAACTTTTATTAAACCCTTTTTAGCTAAAGCATGGACAATATGTTAATTAAACATCAACGAAAAAGTTTGGTCTTGAAAACATTTTAATATTTATAGAAAAGACCATTTTGACATTTTTCTCCGAAATTTACACTTACAAACAAGAAATTTTGATGTTATCGACAATTATTCATAATTAAAGAGTTCGAAATTTTCACGAAACATTGATTTTTTCAAAAGTTGCACAAAGATTGAAACATGGATTTATATGGTTTTCTTAAAACAATAAACTATATTTTTATAAACAAATAATAAAAAATAGAAAATATTAAGATAACTGGTCAAATGTGGTCAATATGTGAGTGCCATAGCGTTATAATAAACAGCCATATAAAGGCCATATTTGTTTTTGTTTATTCACGAACATATGTTTGTGGTCAGATGATATTCTTGCCTGCAAGTTTTCGCAAGTAAAAATGTTTCCAGTAGAAATTTTCCAGCTCCCTATCAAATTTTTTGTTCGAAATGTCTCCTACTTTGCAAGCTTTTTGGGCACGAGAACGAAAAAATTTGTGAAAGTTTTCCAAAACTTTTAACAACTTTGAATACGAGTACGCTCCAATAGTAAAACGATATTTTTAATTTTCCTCTATGATGTCAGGATTTTTTAAAGAACTTTGCAGTTTCAAAAATATGACTAATTCCAATAATTCAGAAGTTATAACTTTAACAAGTTTATCTATTGAAAGACATGGGCTTTACCATTCTAACAAAGAAAGAACTTTGAAAATCGGATGGAGAGTTGCTTAGTATTGGTCTTTTAATTGAAACAAAATGTAAATATTTCAAAAAACTTTCTTATCTTCCCGCTCTTATTTGATCGTGAGGCAATAAAAAAAAAATTTTTGTTGTTTATATAAAGGTACATAAAATCAGTTTTCCAAAAGTTATAATTCAATTAAAGTCGAATAAAAAATGGCTTAGTAAAGCCATATTTAGTTATAATTAGTATATCTGCTTTTTTTTCCTAGAAATGTTTTCGTTTTGTTTGTTTTTTATTCATTTTAGTACCTATGACTCTCTTTCTATAATTGTTAATTTATTTACTTGATCTTATAAAACTCTTCCTAGGGCCATCGGAATGCTCTCTTTGCAACAGGGTAGGTGTGTTTATTAAATTATTGCATATTCTAATATTTTATCTTTAAGGTTTTAAGGCAGTGCTAAGGACCTTTGTTGTGCTAAAAAAATGAAGAAAATTCTTATTGTACTACTGGTTCTTGTTTAATAATAATAATAATAATAATAATAATAATAATAATAATAATAATAATAATAATAATAATAATTCGATGGTACTCTGCATTTTGCACAACAGTGGATTGTTTCCATCAGTCCCATTGGCTTACGCTACTGATGTCAAAGAATCTTATGGTTGAAATATTAAATGTCATAGATTACAATATTCGCAAGTGGCTAATTGTAGCAGTACTAACAATTTTGAATGGCAGCTGGGTGGTAACACAAAACATTTATTCTATTTTTGTGAATGAGACAGTCGAGCAACTAGCCTGCACTACGTTCAAAAAGATTTCGTTCCGCGTACGTTGGTGAAAAGAATAGCATAAATATTCTTCTAGTTAATCTATTGGATATTATTTTACCACCTCTGCATATTAAACTGGGTTTAATAAAGTACATAATTTGTGAAAATACTTGACAAAAATGCTCCAACATTCAAATATCGTTTGCCTTTAGAAACAAAAGTAAAGAAGGTGTTTCTTCCGTGTGTGAAAATTTTCTTGAAAACAAGAAGAGTGAACATTATGAAGGCATAGTAAGTGACGTACTGTCTGCCACCATGCCATGGGTTGCAATATCTCCATTAAATTGCACCATCTGCATATGTTTCCATCAAATTTAGGCCACATGAGCTATGACCAAGGTGCACGATTTCACCAGGAAATTCTATAGATTGAACAGCGGTATGTTTTGGTCTCATAAACTAGATATTAGCAGCGACGTAAATAAAAAACAAACGTTTCTAGGAAAAAAAGGAAAAGAACATATAAACTTATTATCACTAAATAAAGCATTAATAAGCCATTTTTTAATCGACTTTAATTGACTTATGACTTAAGTGACTTTTGGATAACTGATTTTATGTACCTTTTTATAAAGATAAAAAAATAATAATAAAATAATCAAATAGGAGCGGGAAAAAATGAAAGTTTTTTGAAAAATTAACGTTTTTCTTTAGCCGATTTTCAAACTTTTTTCTTAGTTAGAAAGGTAAAACCCAGCCTTCCAAACAGAAACAAAAATTCGACCGAAAAAAGGTAAGGTTCTTCTTCTTCTTGAGGTTCTTCTTAAGGTTCAACTTCTTGAAGTTGTAACTTGAAGAATAACAAAGTTTTATTATATTTGTTAGAAAAACTAACAACCGAAGTTATGGAGAAAAACTGTAAGTAAAGTCGTGTCCTATGGGCAATAACAAAACATTTTTTCTATATGAGAACCACTTGTATCACTGTGTTATTTAAAAAATTCAGTGCATTGTAGTATTACAATATAGGCATGAAAGATAAAATACTATAAATAAATAAAAAATTAAATTGTTTGGTTCACAAGGACCAGTAGTTATCAAAAATGTAATTTTAATTAATTTAACTTTTTTAGGCTTATAAACTTAGAAGGAAAAAAATCGCGGAAAAGGTCGAGTGAATATTAGTGCTTAACATATATTTTTTTCAAAAATAAGTATTGCAAAATTTCAAGGTTTTTCAAGGTTTTTTAAGAATAATTTAATCGCCGAGTTTTCTCTTTAATTTGATTCCTACACTTCACTAAATTTTTTAAATATTTTTTCGAAGTAATCATATTTTTCAAATTCAACAGTCCTTAAACCAAATCCTGACGTCAGTTTTATTATATTTGAACCATGGTTTTGCGAATATATTGATTTTATTGTGTGTAAAATTTCACGTCGCATGCGGCTTTATTCCATCAGTTAATTATTCTCACTTCTTCTGGTTTCAACAACAATCTCCAAAAAATCACAGTTATCGGCAGAGGAAAGAAAGTTAAGCACATAATCTATTATATTTGAGTTTTTTCTGGTATTAAAGACGGCTCTGACTGTCATTTAAGACAGCCCATTGCAAATATGGTATGTATAAATTTTATTCCCTCACTTAATTTTTTAAGAGCATTTATTATTGCGAAACGCCTGTCATATATTTCCCCAATTTCATTGTATTTTTCGTGACACATTGAGCTCCCATCAAATGTCGATTACTTTATGCCATTACCCATGTTCTCACGCATTTAAAGCCACATACGTTAACGGTACTCATAGGTAAATACTTGCATCAAGATCCATTAAACGCTAGACGCTTGATTTGCCGCAAAGCCACAGAAATGTGCAAAAGTTACGGCGTGGCGCCCAAAAATAAACAAATAGTACAACTTCCAACAGAAAGCACATTGACATATTTACATACAAATGTATGTGTTTAAAACGTCTACTTTCACTTACGTGCACTTGGATGTGATGTCGCGTTCGTTGATGGCAATCTTTGTGGTTTGTAAAAATTCCATCAGATGTGGCGGCAAATCCTTAAAACACTCGTCAACCATGCGTTTGGTGTCACCGCATTTGCTGTCAGTGCCGGCTGCGGAGTCATTGCTAGCATATTCTGTGTCATTTTGTGAATTGACTGAGCAAATTAAAAGAACCAACAGCAGAAATTGCACAGACATATTAAAGCAAATATAGTAAATCATAGTAACAACGCAGCGATCAAAGACGGAACGGGTGGACGAGCTTATTTAAGCGTTAATTAGTTGATATTCATTTTATTTTACTTAACTAGCAACAATTCAAATTCAAGTAACTATTTTAGTTTAACAGTCACTTTCTTCGATGCTTCTTGTTTAAAAGTTCTTTCGCATTCGCCAAAATACCGCACGCTTTTGCACTGTTACTGTCATCTTATCAGCAATGACTCGCCTTTTATACGAAATGGAGAACAACTCGTTTACATTTACGATAAAATCAACAGTTGTCTTAAATCAAAAGCTCGCTAAACCGTTTGTGCTTTCACGCAGACGCAGTGAAGCTTCATACACGTGCATTTGATATCCTCTTGCCTATCGGTATTTGAAGTGCACGTATGTATGTATGTACATATGTACTTACAAATTACTTAATTGTACGAATGTACGTATTATGAATAAAGTCCATAGTTACATCCTTTACAGCGCCAAGTTTTCAAAAGCAGGTGAACAATACCTAGTTATTATGTTTCAATAAGGAATGCAAGGAATTAATTGCTTCTACCGTGCTTGTGTTATCAAATTCTTGCAATTAAAGCAATCAGCATTATCAAAAAAGCTGTTTTTGAGAACAAATTAACTTTGTTTCCACCAAAAATAAATGCTACGCTAAGAATTGAAAGGCGTACAATAGGAAGTTTTGTGGCATTGATTACACAGGCCAACAAAATTTAAACAATGTTATGTTGACTAAAATATTACAGCCGATTCTTATAGCATTTTTCCTGTAGAATCCGGATCTGACCCTAAAGATATTATATTGGCTCTAGTTTTCGAGCGACTTAGGCGTAAAGGTGCTGAATACCGCGTTGTTGAACACTTTCGAGCCTCTGAAAAACAATAAATTGATGCAATATATGTATTTGTCTGCCCTTTAATGCTCAATATCAAAAAATTATGGTTAAACGGTTAATGGCCTTTATTCATGGCCGGCATTCATTGCCTTGCGGCCCTTACCGGTCGCGGATCATTGTACAACTGGATTCTCATGTTAGTTGTGCGGCTCAATACCACCTTTGACCACAATGGCAAAGCCTTGATGCACGCACTTATCTTGTCTGCCGCAGTGCAATACGACTAGTCATCCCATCAGCAAACAGCTGCCGCGGATATTTTGCAAGCTTCGATCGAGTGCATGCATGCTTGTGTAGCATCGTACATTCGTCCAAATTTTTAATTAATTGCATTGTTGTTTTCGCTAAAGTTGCAAGTTCTTCCTCCGCTGAGCAAGGTAGTTGCTATCCCTGTGGAGGCAACCGCTAGTGCAACATTTTTATCCTTGCGCAACTGTGCCAGTAGCAAATTGTCGCCGACATTTCTGGCCAGCTCCCCCTGTGCGTCCAAGAAATAAAGGCCCCTTCTCCGGTCTCACGCGTTTCAATATTTTATGAAAAATTTGCCTTTACTCGGGTAATGGTTTAGGTTCTGTTTTGGTGACTTGAGCCGTTGGCTGTTCTCCCGTTCGTTGCCAAGTGGGCATGCCGAAACCACACATCCCTTTTTCCACCATTGAGAAAACTTTATCCTCAATTAGTTGCATGTGCTGTCCCTTGAAAGCTGTGTGCAAGGGGGAAAGTCCTAAAAGTTTACTACTTGTTCATTAAAATTATTTTAAATTTCTAAACGGGTGGCAACTCCATTCCAAAATATTTTCGTAAGAAAGCTTTCTTAACCCTCTCTCGTTTGATAGTCATATTAAAACACTTCGTTCAACCTTTAGAGTAAATTGATTTTGAATTAAAAAAATATTTAGAAATAAATTTGTCTTAAACCTGTCTCAATTCATACCAAAATATTTGATTTAAATTTTTAATTAAATTGCTTGAGACCCACATTGTTGTTATACTTTATCTTACTTAATAAATAGTTAATTTTAATTTTTTAAAAAGCAGCCACCATCTTCAAAAAAATATCCTATGTGTTAATCCAGGTCATAGCCTATAACTGTGCCGAACTTCACTGTAATACGCCCAGCCGTTCTAGCGCGAAAAAGCAAAAAGCATACACGTTCACAAACTTTCACATTTATAATATTAGTCGGATTTTTTTATTTGTTGTAACATTATACATACATATGTATTTGCACGTATCACACATATTCTATTATTCATTCATTATTTATGGGAAAAAGTTTCGAGATCTCCTGCCACTTAGTCTTCCGCATGTAATTTATCAACTTTTCGACAGTGCTGTCATTGAACTGCTTTGGGATCCTGTTCCATTTTAAGCCGAAATCCTAGATACATATTTTTTGGGCTGGGTTTTCTTAGCTTGCTCTTAACTACTGCCCGATGCCCAGCGCCGGATTAATATGTAACAGGGTTGTTCCTGCTTCCGCATTAATTTTAGCATTAGCATTCGCTTTCGCATTCGCAAAAAACAATGCGGATCTTTTGCGAATGCGAATATTGAAGGGACCGAAAATCACAGTTATTTTTTAAGAGTTAAACTTGGCCAAATATTTTTTATTCCGAAATAAAAGTACTTTCCGGATAATAAACAAACCGCTTATCCAAATTAAACAAGTTTGATATCCAATGAAAGAGGACCTAAATAGCTTTAAAACTGAAATATCTATAAGAGGAAAGACACACATATTGAAAAATATTTCAATAAAAAGTTTTAACTAATTACCATAGAACAAACATTGGGTCAGGTATGTATTTACATGAATTTCTTTATTATTAATTTATAAAAAAATATAACTAGAGGTGGTAACCTTCATTCGTTATTTCTGTTTAAAAGCTATTTCAGTCCTCTTTCATATGATACCAAATTTGTTTAATTTGGATAAGCGGTTTCTTTATTATCCGCATAGGGCGTTTATTTCTGAATAAATAAAAATGAGGTACAAAAACTAAAACCGAAAAACGCTGATGACGTGAGAAATTCCGATACAACAAAAAGAATTAGAATGAAGAATTCTTTCTAAACAAACGGTGTTTAAACAACGATTGTGCCATGCTGCTAGATTGTGAAGATGAAAGTCAGGAGGATACATCCGACATTTGCAGCCCCGATGAAATTCTCAAAAAGTAATTATTGCACCGCAATAAAAATAAACAAATATAACTGAAAGTCCTCTCAACTGGTGCAGTGTCTATCGAAAAGAATTTATAATTTGCCAAGTTTCAAGTTTTTCAAGTTTTTGTCGCCTCGAGCGAGTTGTTATATAGTCAGGTTTGATTTGCGACCCTTCAAAAAGTTTTTATTAAGTACAATGTTCCAATTTTTAAATTCAAGTACTAAACAAACAGTCAGTCTTATCATGAGTTTAATTTTCCCCGAACCAGTTCACTTTTCACTTTTGGTTTCCATGGTTTTACTATGGGCGGATGACAAATTTTCGGGTGAATTTTTTTTTCAGGCGAAACTCAGGATAAGGCAGATTTACTATGGGCGGAATAGAAATTTTCGGATGAATTTTTTTTCGGGTAAAACTCAGGATAACGCTCGTTATTAAAAATTATTAACCTTTCCATTTTTTATTTACCTAAATCACCTAATTTACCCACCTAAATTATTTCTTAAAAATACATGCCATCCGCATTCGAATCCGCATCCGCGGATGTTAGCGTTTAAATATCCGCATCCGCATTCGCTTCCGCGGATGTCTAAAATTCCACATTCGCAACATCCCTAATATGTAACATGTGCGGATCTCAAGGGCCGGAGGTAATGTGGGAGCCTTATAGCGATTACCTGAGCATTAAATGTAATGCGTTTCCTGCAAATATACAGGCCTACGGTGATTTCTCCCTTAAAAAACCAATAAGCAATTTGGGTATATATTAGGTACTGAGGCATGAAAAAAAATAATAATGCAAAAATTCCATCACGTAAATTTTCCGAGAAAATCGTTTTTCATTGTTCTTAATGTTCTAAACTAATTAATATTTTCCATTTCTCTTAAGACCCTAATCCAACGCCAATGACGGAACACAACGGTTACCTATTGTCTTCACTGCCCTAATACTATTGCGGTGTATCAAGACCCTCCAGTACTGCTGGAGTCAATCGCTACTCTTGAACTGCTACTGCACCGACTCCTAGGAAAGTAGCTACTCTATTAACCCGTGCACATGGAGGGCGCCCATAAATCACGCAAGTGACTACTTTAGTAACTTCCGGTAGTGCAGAGAGAGCCGATGGTCACCATGGTCATCACGGCCTAGAACATTGCCTTGTAAAAGTAGTCGATGAAATACACTGAAAGTAGTCGGTCGGTAATTGACGGAGATACCAGGTAGCTACCGATTCATCAGTCCTGTAGTCGCTCCCCCGTACTGCAAGGGAGGCGCGATATAATTGGCATACATATCCACATCAAATAAACGACATACATATCGAACACGCGCCAGAGAGTGCACTGAGCTAATTTGGCCTTTAGTGTAAACCATACGCGCCTTTTGTGTAGCTAGCGTTTTTTATTTCTTGATGCACTCAGAATTCTTTGAGTACGCGCCAATGTACTTGTGTTTATACACACACACATATATGTATGTGCATTTAGCCATTTGGCATAAGTAAATAAGAATATGTTTTTGTACATAATAAGTTACACTGTTTTTCAACAAAAATGTTCTATGGATGCCGCTATCCAATTCCTATGCAGAATTGCTCAGTGATTCCGAAAATCGAGATAATTTTTTTCTATGGATAACTTTTCGAAATATTTGCAATTTACAGTTATTCAGCTAAAAAAAATAGTGGTTTCACTTAGTATATCTTACGAACCAATTGAATAATCATAATACATCACTTTTCGCTAGCCTTGATAGTTTCTGAGAAATTAATTAATCATTTTTGACACGTCTTGCTTGCAATGCAAACACTCTACTTACTCAGGTGTACGTGGCGTATGAGTAACACTCTTTTCTGCTCATATTTCATACAAAAAATCCTTGCGCAATTTTCATTTGAACAATCATTATTTTCTTATTCATCTATCTATTTACTTCGTTGGTAGCCTAATTTTTTTCTAAAGGAACAAGCTTCAACACAAGTGCATGGCGTTTACGCAGAACACTTATTTTTTAATGAGGAATGATGACTTCATTTCTCAGAAAATATCAGGGCTATCGAAAAGTGATGTATATATGGTTTATGGAGAATTTTATTTGCTT